TGCCTATCCTCTAAACTTCCACCCTCTCACTATCTCTACATATTGCCACCCTACTCTCAGTCCCCCACCCTTCTACTTGTACCACAGAATCCAACAGGGGCAGAGACTGTCTGTACTATTACAGACTAATCACACTGGAAGAAGTCCAGGTAGGCTACCTACCCACCAAACTCCACCACTTTCTCGGCCTCTGCTCATTCTATTCCTAGTCTCCTACCATCCTAGTTGTCATATTTCAACTTAACCTGGGACAGAGGCCTCTCTACTCTGCCAGAGACCAGCCTGTCCAAGAAAAGCACAGCCACCAACTGGGATGTACACTCTTTGCTCTACCAGACGCCACACAGATTGAGAGAAGTCCAGGTAGGCTGCCTGCCTGCCAAATTCCCCCACTATCTCACAATTTTGATGTCCTCTTACTGTACCCTCTAGTCCCACACCCTCCTAGTTGCCATACCCCAGCCTCCAATTAGAGCAGAGACTCCCCACTCTACTAGAGACCAAGTAGACTAGTAAAAGTCCAGGTAGACTGCCTGCACACCAAGCTTCCCCAGTCTCTCACTATTTTAGCACCCCACACCCAATTGTAAGTCCTGTGTCCTTCTAGTTGCCTTACCCCAGCCTCCAACTGGGGTGTAGACTCCTCACTCTACCAGAGACCAAAGTGAGAGAAGCCCAGGCCACACAGACTAGAAGATCAGTGAGGAAACAGCAATCAAAGAACAAAACACCTATCTAACAAATATTAATTAAAAAAATGGGTACTTATACTTCTAATTACCTCAAACACAACTGTATAGAGGCCAACATAAAAACACAAGAAACAACAGCCAACACAATATGAACCTTGGCCCCAGAACCCAGCTATCCTACTACAAAAAGTCTTGAATATTCCAACAAAAGAGAAACACAAGTAAAAGACCTTGAAAACAACTCATGAAGATGATTGAGGTTTGTATATGAGAAACCCACAGCCAACATCATCCTAAATGGAGAAAACTCAAAGCAACCCTATTGAAATCAGGAAGGCAACAAGTATGTAAACAATCTATCATTTTTCAATGGAGTTTTCAGAGAACTAGCAGGAGCAATAAGGAAGGAAAGGGAATTAAAGGAGTAGAAACAGGTAAAGAGGTGTCAAACAATCCCTATTTTCAGATTACATGATATTATAAATAAAAGACCAGGAAATGTCTAGAAATAAGCAATATTTTCAGCAAACTTTCATGATGAGAATTACATTAAAAAAAACTTTCTGATACAACAATGACAAATACACTGAGAAAAAGATTATAGACAAACACTCATTCACAACATCCTCAAGAAAATATCTAGGAGTAAACGCAACAAAGGAATTTAAACAAAACCATCTTTAATTAAAACATCTCTGAAGAAAGGTTGAGAAAGACAATAGGAATGAAATGACACACCCATGTTCACAAATGGTAGAATTAACATTATGAAAATGAGTATTATAGTAAGAGCTATTCAGCCGCAATGCAATCCAATAAAAAATAATCCTTCTCCAATTCTACACAGAAATAGAAAAAATAAATTATTCTAACATTAATTTTGAACTAAAAGCCTGCAGATAGCCAAAGCAGTCACAATTAAATGAACAATATTGGAGGTACTAGCATGGTACCGGCACAAAAACAGGCATGTAAACCAATAGAATAAAATTGAGTAATCATCACTACACCCATCTAATATCTGACAAAGCTAACAAAAACATATACACTGGAGAAAAGATAGTTTCATGAATAAAGTGATGTTACGAAAAATGGATGTCTGCATGATCACCCTTAACAACAATTAACTAAAATGACTCAAAGACCTTGATGTTCACCTGAAAAAAAAAATAGCCAGCTAGAAAAAAATAGCCAGCAAGTACCAGACAAGATACAGGTGAAGAAATAGATTTCTGAGAAGGACTCCAATTACCCAGGAATTGAAACCAACAACTGACAAGCAGAACCTAATAAAACTAAAAGGCTTCTGATCAGCTAAGGAAACAATCAAGAGTGAAGAGAATCTTTGTCAGCTTTACTTCTGATAGAAGATTAATATCCAAGATATATGTATATATGAAGAAGTCAGAAAAAGACTCATAAACCATATGGCCTATTTTATAAATGGGCTATGAATCTAAACAAAGAGTTCACAAAAGAAAGAAAAATGGTTAAGAAATATCTCAAAAACATTCATCAGCCTTAGAAATTAGATAAATGAAAATCAAAATAGCTTTGAGATTGTATCTTACCTCAGTTAGAATGACTAAAGGCATTAAAATAAATGCAGAGCATACAAGGAAAGGAAAACCATCATTTACTATTGGCAGGACTGCAAACTGGTACAGCCACTCTGCAAATATGTGTGATAATTATCCAAAAGCTAAAAATAAACCTATCATATGAACCTGCTATACTGCTTCTTGGCAAATGACTAAAGGAATTGACAACCTACTACATATATTTATTTATCAATTGTTCACTGTTGCTCTATTCACAATGGTGAATAAATGTAATCAATCTAGATGTTCTACATATTGAAAATATTGTCCAGATACTCTATGGAATGGTGTTCAGCAGTTAAAAAAGTAATATTGGAAATTTACAGATTATTGGGTGGAACTATAAAATATATTGAATCAGGTAACCCAGATCCAGACAGATAAACAGCAAACATTTTCTCTCTTCTGTGCACCTAGCTCCAAATCTTCGTATGTGAATATATAACCTGCCACAACTTCAGAAACCCTGAAGCCAAGTAAAAAAGGACCATAGTGGAGCTCTGGAGAGCATGTTAGAGCCTTATGACATATCATTCCCATATATTGACAATTTTGTTGTTTTATTTTACAGAATCAATAGTATCTTCAAGGAGACCAAGTTGAGTAACTCTGAAAACTTGCTTTGTAAAATTTACTGAATTTAATATATATATTCAGTGTGTGCTGAATGCTAGAAGAAACATCATTTCCAAAGAAATTTGCCATTGAATAAAATGAAATAAAAAGAAAAAAAGAAAAGTTATTTGTATGTAATTTATGATTATGCAGAAAAGGCTCAAAAATCAATGAAATTTTATTTTATGTTCCGTTTAAACCTGTAGTTTTAGTTTGCTACTTTCTTGTTTAGGTTTTACTCACTGACATAATATAAGAATAAGATGCAAGGTTCTAGAAATTTAAAACAAGGCATTCTTAACATTGTTATGGTTGTTTTTGTTGTTGTGTTTTTTCATGGAGGGTACTTAAATTCTGGTCTTATGCTAGATACATTTGGAACATAAATTTCATTTACATTTTTAACTTTGATTTTTAAATTATGTTTATTTATACTTTGTGTGTGTGTGTGTGCATATGTGCAAAGGTCAGAGGACAGGAGTTGGTTCTTTCCTCCCATCCTGTAGGTTTCAGGGTTCAAACTTGGATCATCAGGAATGATAGTAGGCACTTTTAGCTGCTGAGAATTGTGCAAGGCCAAGGATATCATTTTACATGTTACTCAGGAATCTAAATTTTAAGTCAAATGTAACTCTATCTCCTCAGGCACACACAATATTCCTTAATTCTTTTTCTGACTAACCATACTACCAATATCATTCGCATCATCAGAAATATGAGTAGTTCTCTTAAATATTTCTTTCTTTTTTTCCTATATCCAATTATTCAGCAAATTTAAGTCATTCTTATTTTAATACCTCAAGCACACTTTTCTCTCCTCTCCATTTTTACTACCTACTGCCTAATTTCAAGACAATTCAAGTTAAAGTTTAGACTAATGTAGGGAGACAGGCTTGCTAGACCCCTTATCTCTGTTTCCTCTAAATTCTACCCTCCACACCACAAATAAACTGATTTCTTTGCAGCTCAGTCAGATCATATTATTACTCTGCTTTAAGTTATTAAGAATTACCTGTTTTCTGAGAGAAGTCTTATTTTATATTATGGTAAACAGGGTTTTGCATTTGTTCCCAATGTGAGTTACTATAGCCCCCCTCATCTACATCACGAACTCTATGCTAAACTATTTGTAGTTCCTCAAATGTACTAACATCTCTATTGGATGGTCTATAACTTAAACTTGAGAATGAAGTCAATCCATACTGTTTATATGAGTCTTATGAAGGGAGTAATTATGTTTAAGGAAGATATGAAAGTGAACAATGTGTATGTGTGTTTGTGTGTAAAACAAGTAAAACATAGAAAAAATAAGAAACTTGGCTAGCTGGAGAAGACACTTAAATTTAAGTAATGGATAGTAGCGTACACAGTGTATTAACTGTCTGTATCTTATGTAAATTTTTGTTCAATTAGCATGACTTGATTGCCTAAGTATGTAGTGTACCTGCAAGTCAACAGTCAAAGGAGGTGTTACAGGGTGATGGTGGCACACTCCTTTAATCCCAGCACTCTGGAGGGAGGCATAGGCAGGCAGATCTTTGTGAGTGAGGCCAGCCTTGTCTACAGAGCTAGTTCCAGGACAACCTCCAAAGCAATACAGAGAAACCCTGTCTCAAATAACCAAAAAATAAATAAAGAAAAATGGAGGTGTTTCAGTATACCTACAAACCAGGCTCTGCCTTCTAAATGAAAAGGAAATAAATTTTCCTTTATTTCAATTGTTTTTCAGCTATTTTGTTAAGTCCTATACAACCTATTGTTTGTTTCAGAAGGATCCATAGATAGCTTTACTTGAATGAGATAAATAGAAAGTTAAACAAACTCTGCACAATACTGATGAGTCTTAACTATTTTAATTTTGAGCTCCATACTCACAAAACATTAATAACAATTAAGATTAACAATAAAATATAGATTTAGTATGGGTTCTTTTAAGTCTAGAATGGTCATCACAATAGTAAGTAAAATATGTCTTAAATATTTTAAATGGTAAATTTATGCTCTTGAGAATACAGGGAAGAATTTCTGGGTGAAAGCATGTCTGAATTTTGAATGCTTAACAAAATTTATTTTTGTTTGTTTTGGAGGGGAATATAGTATGTCCTTTTCTTAATGCCAGAGTCTGCCACATGTAAGAAATATGGATGTGGCAAGTGCAACATGGAACTTTGAAATATCTATTGCCACAACAGACAATAAAAGCATGGACATATAATGGGGAGAATATCTAAGAATAAACATAAAATAAACATTTTTCAGGGATCTCTGTAGTTCATTTTGAAGTTATTTGCTCATATCCTCAGAACCTTCTTGGTTGTGCTTTAGTCTTTTCCATCTCAAGGTATTCTTTTCATTAATCAAAGCCAACGTTTTGTCTGCTACCTGTTTGGAGGCTGAGCTGCAACAACAGGATAAAAAGAAACTAGGGAGTTATAAGTGACAATAAAAGAAAAATGTATTCTTCTTAAAGTACTTTAAATAGTTTATTTAACAGAAAATGTTTGATATTGTGACCCTAGGAGATTTCAAGTTCTTACCCAAGAAACTGCTAAGATTACCTTATAGTAATAGGAATAATACTGTTTCTTAAAATACTAAGATAAGACCATAGTGATGTTTACTGTGTAACTTACATGTATATTAGGTTAATGCTATGTTTACCATATTTGACTGCTACAATGGAATGTTTTATCTAATATACAAATTAATTAATTATATGCTCTTATTTTATAGCTGTGTAATCATGGAATAATTACATAACTATGCTTCTAACTCTTCATCTCAAATAATGATAACATAACTATATAGAATTTTATTTTTTATTACTAAGTGCTTGAATAATGTCAAGTTTTACCCATCTTTTCATTCTCAACCTTTTGAATTAAATAATATTTTGAATAAATTAAGTATAGAAGTTGTCTGAATTTTTGCTTACAACTCATAATTAACAAACAGTATTTTTTTACGGTTGAGAATATTATATAACTATAAGTTGTCATTTCAAGCCCTATAACACTATTTTCTTTCTTCATTGTCAACTACTATGTATTTTATTTAGGTGTTACCAGTTAATATTGGTAGAATAAAATTTACTACATGAAATATTCAGCTCTCATGCTATAATAAAGAGAGAGCTATAAGGGAAACCCTGAAGAATCAGGGCAATTATGATCTGAAGTTCTTACAGAAATATCACAGGCATTAATTTCTCTATACATAAGATAAGTTCCCTTACTTGGAACTTCGGACAACAGGTTCACTTTGGATTCCTCACCTATATCTCGTAGGTTTGTATCTGGCTCAGAAAACCCATATCACATAAATACAGAGAAAAGTTTAAACAAAATTTAAATTTATTTTTTCATTTCTGAGACAGAGTCTCATTACGGAGCCTTTGGTAGTGTATCTGGAACTTGCTATGTAGTTGAGGCTATGCTGAACTCACACAACTCTGCTTGTTTCTGCCTCTGGTGTGCTGGAGTTAAAGGCATGTGCCATATCACCTGACAAAAATCTTTATCTTTTATAAGATTAATGGTGATATTTTTATCATAAATTATCCAGATTATCCAGAGAACAACTAAAGATTTACATTAATAGTGGCTTTCTTTCTTTTCTTTTTCTTGCCTTTTTTTTTTTTTTTTTTTTTTTTTTTTTTTTTTTTTTGGACTGCTTTGTTTTTTTCATCTCGGAATTCTTAGAGAGAATACTTTAGTTATATTTGATGCCTTTAACTATACCAAAAGGAGAATACAATGCAGTTTAATATATCTCATTTGAAGATTTTCAAGTCCCCATATTAGTTATAGTTGAAGTTAAATGGTAGATGACTTGTTTAACACAATAGTGCCCTAGTTCAATAACTAAACACTACAAAAATATGAAAGATAAAAATCATATCTGACAAGTAATATAACACTAAGAGACCATCAAGCATTTTACTAACATGGAAAAATGTTAAATTCTTATATCAAATAGCTGTTTTATGGTAATATCTGGTACACTGATGGTGCTCTTAGTAAAGAAGTTGAACAATTAACAGACCTTGAGCAAGTTGCCTTTATCTTTGAACAGGAGTTCTTTTGTGGTATCTCAGAATGAAAATTTCTAAGAAACACATCTTCCACTGTAAAAAAATATAGCATACTCATAAAAAGCCAGGAGTGGACAAATTGATTATCACTATGTAGATACACTGAGGGGCATTTATTTTTAGAAGGACATTGTATTCTGTGGAGTATGTCGGCATTTAACATCTGTTTTAAGGGCTATTAACCAAAATAATTAAACTTAAAAATGTCCCTCTGTTGTGGAATATTAGTTGAAGATGTGTTACATTTGGTTTTGCTATGGAACATTTGTTTAATGATGCAAAGATGTGTTGCATTCTGTTATGTTGGATTTGTTTAACTCTGTGAATCTCTGTTACTTTGCCTGCCCAAAACACCTGATTGGTCTAATAAAGAGCTGAAAAATAGCTAGGCAGGAGAGAGAATAAGTGGGGCTGGCACGCAGAGATAAATACGAGGAGAAATCTGGGAAGAGGATCAAGGAGAGAGAAAAGGAAGAGAGGAGGCCAGCCACCGACCTACACAGCAAGCCACAGAGTAAAAAGGTAAAAGGTATATCGAATAGAGAAATATAAAAACTCAGAGGTGAAAGGCAAATGAGATAATTTAAGAAAAGCTGTCTACAAATAAGCCAAGGTAAGGCCAGACATTCATAACTAAGAATAAGTCTCTATATGTGTATTTTATTTGGGAGCTGGGTAACCAGCCCCCCAGAGAGCCAAAAGAGTAAAAACAAAACAAAACAAATAACATTTTGGCATGCCAACATGATGCTCCAATATCTGTAAGGCCTGAGAAATCTGGAGAAAAAAAGAAAGATAAAACTGATACTGCTCCTTTTAAAATAAAATTCTGACTTAGAGCAGAGCACTTAAAACAGCTTTTTTTTCATGCTATATCAGAACCAAAAAACTAAGTTAAAAAATGCCACCTGCGCCTGCCACAGTGCAGGGCAATGGGATTTCACAGCTAGGGGTGTTGCATGCAGTTCTAAGCCAAAGACACATTAGACCCTGCTGAGAACTTTAGGCTTGGCTTTCACAGGCTCAGAAGCGAGCAGAGCTAACCTCCAAACCTATGCTGATGTTCTAGCTATGATGCTTAGCAGCTTAAATGATCATAGATATACAGTAAAGACAGATCCAAACAGAAAAAAAACCTGAACAGGTTATAATATGTTTAACAATGTGCATAGTGCTAAGAAAATAAATTGAAAATAGACAGTCATAGAAACAAATAGTTTAAAAAGGTTTTAAAGAGAGAAGTAAAGTAATATAAAAAGAATAAGCCACACAGAGATGGGAAATACCATGTTGATTTTGAATTTTTTGATTGATGATAAGCAAAGGACAGCTGCTAAAAGTCCTGGTCTTCCCAGGACTTAATCATCTCAATTTTATCAGGTACCTCTAAAGATCCCTTCTCCCACAGATTACTGAAAGAAATCTAGAGCACAATGCCCACATTCCCAAGAGATGGGGTGGGTGGTCTTTGGTTGTTTGATGGGTTATGGATATTTGTTACCATTTAGGGGAATATAGTAATATAGGATAAAATGACAACTATTAATCTCAGATATTTTGCTTTGGCATGAATTTTGGAATATTTATACAAATTTAATTATTTTGTTAAACTGTATATATGTGTCTACTCTTGGTGTATTGTGCTTATGCAGCTCATTTAAAATGCAATGTATAATTAAGAGATGAGGTTAGTAGTTAATTAAACTTACAGTCATATTAGGTATGTTTTCAAGGTTAAACAGCTGTATTTTAGACAGCTGATCTTCAAACACTTAAAAAACTTTAAAAAAACCTATAAAATATGATTTTACAATGTTTTCTAAACTTAATGCGACACATCTGCTTATGACAGCATCAATTTACTTCATAAAAGGATGATGACCATTGAATAAAATCCATATGGAGTTTATTTTCAATGAAGTAAGACTACCACCTGGGCAAGTAACTGCTCTTTCCTGGACTGCCTAACATTATGCTGTACAGAATGCACATTCAGGACCCACAGGAAAGTGACTGGTGAACTTTGCCAGTCCTTCAAAATTTGTGTTTCATAAAAGAGTCTGCCTAATATTCTAGGCCTGAAGGCTGAACGCAAATGTCTCAATATTTCAGAAGAACATTGGGTGACTGTCCAGGCAGCCAAATGTCTCTGTTGTTAGTTAATATTATATCCTTCTGGCATCTTTGATTGAATTGCAGACTAGATAGTTATAACTGCAGTTTTCCTTAGTTATGATAGAAAGTAAATTATTTATAAAACTTTGGATTTACTAAGATATGATAGGTAATGGATTATTTTCTCTGAATTTACAGACTACAAATGGACTGAATATTGTAAATGTAATTCTTACTTGATAACTGTTTTTTGTAGTTTTAGTATGTTAAAGTTAAAACCTTTCATGTTCATTTACTCAAAAAAGGGAAAAGTTGTGGAATATTAGTTGAACATGTGTTAATTTGTTTTTCTCTATGGAACATTTGTTTAATGATTCAAGGATGTCTTGCATTCTTTTATGTTGCATTTGTTTAAACTTGTGAAGATGTGTTACATTGTCTGCCCAAAACACCTGATTGGTCTAATAAAGAGCTGAAAAACCAATAGCTAGGCAGGAGAAATGATAGGGCTGGCAGGCAGAGACAATAAATATGAGGAAAAATCTGAAAAGAAAACATTGAGGAGTGAGGGTTAAGGAGGACTCCAGGGGCCAGCCACCCAGCTACACAGCAAGCCACAGAGTAAGAAGTAAAGAAAGGTATACAGAATAGAGAAAAATAAAAGCCCAGAGGTGAAATGTAGATGGGATGATTCAGGAAAAGATGGGTAGAAGCAAGCCAAGCTAAGGCTGGACATTTATAAGTAAAAATAAGTCTTCTTGTGTGTATTTATTCAGAAGCTGGGTGACAAGCCCTAAAAGAACAATGAGTAAAAGAGTAGAAAAATCCAACAACATGATTATAAGATCAGGAAGAACATGATATACTAGGGATAGTACCTAAAAGTACAATTCCAACAACTTTTGTCTACTTAATATTATTTTCCTTTTGATAATGTTATATTGTAATTTCTAGTCTTTCAAAAACAGTGCCTTATCTGTTGCATATCTCAAATATTGATTAATTTTTAGTGTGTATTTTAGATGTATTAACTGAACCTCAGTACAAAAAGCACATTTGATTGTTATGTGCAGACATTTATTAGTGGAAATGCCTACTCCATATCCATAACTTTCTAGCTTATATTCACTGAATGTATTGTACTGTTCACTGTTATTAATCATTTTGCACTTCAAACATTCTACTGTAAATACAAATGCTGACTCTGAATGGCTTTAATGCAGTTCTTGCAAGTCATTCAAATCTGTCATCAGATATGGAATTGTATTACTTCTGCTTTTATAATCTAATTTTAGATAATGTATTAAGTGACATCATCTAGTAATGTAGTTCTAATTCTACTAAAGATGAAATTTGCCATTACTATAAAAGAGTTAACTTTGGAAATTAGGATATCATTAAAAATTTCTAAAACTAGTAGCACAAAATGATAACCTACACATATAATTTGATCAGTTGTGATCAAAATATTTTAAACATTTCAAAATACTCTGGAGACTCAGAGAGAAGCTATTTCATTTGTTTTCATTTACCTGTTATATCAAGTGTCTACTTGTTTTCTATGAATGTTTGTAGACTGCAGGTTCTTCAGATGCTACCAGGTATGTTTTACACTTAGACTTTAAGTTTTAGTTTACAGAATGTTTTAATTATTAAATGTCTATTAAATGGTTCAATTAAAAGGTGCATATATTTTACTTTTATATGCTGGACATGGGTTGGTTGTTTTAGTTAACTTATGATTGAAAGAAAAGTGTAAATTCTTTCAAGTACATTTTGTTAAATGTATTAATGAAAGGCACCCATGATCTATTAACAATTGTTGTTTTCAATGGGTATATGTGAACATGGAATAAACCAGGGAAATATAGACCATAAATGACTAAGGGAAGGCAATCACCCAGTCTTACAGAAAATACTGTGTTTTAGAAGGTATGTCAAATACATTATTTCTAAAGCTATTCACAATTTACCATGAAGCCTGCTCATCACCAGTGAAAATATTTCAATTGTTTGCAAGTATTTTAATTGTATAGCCCTGGTATAAACATTAGAAAATATGCCATGCATAGTATTTTTTTTGGATACATAGTCCATGAAAAGCTCATTTTTTATCATACTTCAGAGAAATCAATGCCTTGTACTTGGAAAATTTGTTTTTAATGTAAAGGCAATCTGTTTTTGTAGATATATTTCATCTTGTCACCCTTAGTTCAAAAAAACTGTTCTTAATGCCACGATTTTAACCACAAAATAACTATATTTCCCAAACTTTGTAACCTTTAAAGCAATGCTTTCACATCCCAATAATAAATTTCTGTGTCTATGATCTTGTTTAGTCTAGCCTATGCTACCTAAATGGAATCCTAAAACATGTAGGTGCTTATGTCTGTCTTCTTTGACTTAATGCAATGTGTGTAAGTTTCATCCATAGTTTAGTATGTGTCATTATTACATGTGTTTTATCAAATGATATTACAGTACATAAATATACTACAAAAACATTAATTTTTTTCATTCTAATAGAAACAAAGGCTCACTTGAGATAAATCATTGGAAAAACAAGAAAAAAGAACTCTTTACATTTTAAATTTACCTGAGCAATACTATTTTATTACTTATAATTTATAAATATTAACTTTGTTTATGTAAGAAAAACATAAAAACCATACTTGCTGTTTCTAGGAAGATGGTATCTCTTGGTAAAAACCATAGAATTGTTCTCTATTAAAGTAAAAGCGTTAAGGAGATATTTTTTGTACTTCTGTTTTGGCTACTTGAATTTGTGATGTACTCTAAATGTGTAGTTATATTCATTTACTTATTTTATGGAAAACAAATTATATGAAGCTGAACATTTGTACACAGACACTAAAATCAAATTTAAGCTTATTTACCTTATTTAATGTATAAAAGGGATGAAATTCAATGTGCATCAAATTAATTATGCTTTATTGATAATGCTTAGGTAAAGTTACTTACAAAATAATAATACTTTGTTACTGCCAAAAATAGTTCTCCATATACTTTAGCAATCTTAATTTTCACATGTAATGTAGACTATTAGAGGAAATACTTTATAAAATATAGGTTTATTTATTATAAAGAAAAATAAGATAAACATTTTAAACTAAATTTAGTAAAGCTACTAGGGGGCTTTGTTTTCTGGTATGTTACCAAAATAACTCAATGACTACTTATTTAAAAGTAAATCAGAGTTTAGAATTCATAAAGTACTTCAAAATATCCTTAAAAAGATTAGTGCTTTCAAAGTTGATTTTGGTTAAATGATTTCATTCACAATATTTAAGATAAATTTTAATTGTTCTTCTCTTTCTTCACCCTTCATTCTGTCCCTTTCCCTCCATACTCCCTTCTGTCTATCAAGCGTACATGTGGGCAATACATGTGTAAAAACTTACTCGCTTGTGATCAGGTTTACATTTATGGACTATTAATACACTGCTAAGAAAATAGAAAAGTATAGTAGTCTATTACAGCCCATTCACCTATTTTTCCATTTACCAATTGTATAGAAGATGAATATTTTCTATTGAAAATCATACTAGAGAATTTCCCATGTCAAGAAATACTGGATACATTTTTCCTCTATTCCACAGTTTATATATCCAACTAAGTAAAATACGTTTGATTCATGTTCAATAACCTAACACTAAAAATTACAAGAGAGAATTAACTTGAAATGTATGTTTACGTAAACTTACCTTAAATAATTGATTCACAGCACCTGATGATATAGCAAACTTCACAACATCTGGTAGCTCAGCTTCCACTATAACATCAAAGCTAGAGAGTGGAATATTTTGATTGGAAAGAATCTTGAAAAGAGAAGGATCCTTGATGCCAATTGGATTCTGGACCCTACAAAAATCTTTTAAAAAGCCAGATTCTTTGGCATCAAGGGAGTCCACTGACCCAGAGGCATACTTAGAAGTATCAGAGTATGTGTATCCAGCAGAGTTTTGGAACTGAGCACTAAAATTTTGGTTATCAAAAATTATGTAAGCTCTACCAAGTTCAAGTGAATCATAAAATTCAGAGGTTATCAAAAAAATAGGATAAGAAGTATGATTTGTGCCAGCAATAAAATTTGAGACAGTTCCATAAACAATTTTAAAACTAGATGACATGGAACTGGTTTTTAATTCAGTATCAGTGAGAATGTTAATATTGCTGATACTAATAGAATTATTAGCTTTCTGGTTATCTTTGATGGTAATGCTGAAACCATTAAAATGACTAAATCTAGGGAAATGTTTATTTTCTGGGGCATAGTTTTTTCTGGCAGTAAACTGAGAGCTAATAGCACCAGTATAGCTAGTGATGTTGCTAGTATCATTGGCATTGATAATGCTAAATGCAAAGCTGGGTCTAGTAGCACATTTCTTTTTGCCAAAATAGTTTTGGGTGACTAGAAAACTTGACCTTACTTTGTATGTAAACCCTGTGACAACATTAAAGTCTGAGTAATATTTTAGGGCAGCTGTTAGTTTGTGAATAGCAGTGCTAGTAGGTTCTGTGCCATTGTTAGGCTCAGCAATATGGTTAGGATTAACAACATTGTGACTAGCAGCATTATTGAGTTTGGTATTATAGTTAGACTCAAGATCATTTAGGCATCCATGGCTGTTTGAGAGGAAGGGATTGTTATTTGGATCAGTCTCATTTTTTGTAAAGTCAAGATTATGGGAAATTGGTCTAATAGTCTCAGAGCAAATATTTCCTTTTCTATTGTCTTTGCTAGGGACAACAACACTATTGGAACCAGAAATGTAGTCCATCACAGTTCTATTTTTGTTTCCAAAGGCAGAGTTTGGATTTGTGCTACTCTTGGTGTCATTATTGTGCTGATTGAAATCTTCTGCCATATCAGAAACATTGTTTAAATCAGTGCTATATTTCAAGTTAACATCACTGTTTGAAGCATTATCAGAGGCAGGGTCAGATTCATTGTTACGATCAGTTACATTTTTAGAGTCACCATCATTGCTGGAAGCAGATCCACTTGTAGGCCCAGAAGCACCATTAGGATCAGACCCAGTATTGCTATCAGTATTATTTTCAGAGTTTCCATCTTTAGGATCACTGCCATCAGGGTCAGATTTGTCTTTGGGATCTTTCTTATCTTTGTTGTTATCTTCATCTTCAGTGTCTGTTTCATCTTCAGCATCTGTTTCATCTTCAGTATTTGTCTCATATTCTTGGTCTGTCTCATCCTTTGAAAGACATTCCTCTTCAACATCAGCCTCATCGTTGATATTTCTAGCACTGATAAATTTAAAAAGGCTGTCATCAGGATTATCCTTATTTTGAGGTTGGGTAGTAAGATTGAACTTGCTTTCACTTTCAGACAATCTTACTGGTGTTGACAATATGTGGCCATGGGTACTATGTTGGCCCATGATTTGTTTAGATTTTATAGGAATGGTATGTGTATCAGCAGAGCTCTTAAGATTTCGGAGAGCTGAACAACTTTCACAATGTAAATAAGAGGTAGAATCCACAGAATGTCTGAAATCTTCCCTGTGCAGAGCGCAGCGCATACCCACATGATGCTTAGGATCCAGAGACTGAGATAAAGGGCTATTTCGAGAAGTCTTGAAGTGTCTAGTAGTTTTAGAGCGCAGAGAATATTTAGAATATGATGAAATCTGTTCATGTAAAGGAGAGTCCGAGTCAGAGTCATCAGAATGTGTGGGGCATTTATGAAAAGAAGAGTTACTAATTTCCATAAAACATCTGGTGCATCTTTGAGTTTCCACATCCAAAGAATATGTAATACTTCTTCGTGTCTTCTGTCTTGTGGCAGACTTACGACTCTTAGAATTTGGGCTGCTGACAAGTGATGATACATTAGAGGTGGAAGACTCAGAACTTGGAGGAATGGAAGTAATTTGATACCTAAAACTCTCACAACCATGTGCATATCTATACTCCCTGCAATGGCGTTTATCAAAAGATAGTTTCCGGCTGGCTTTTCTGTGATACTTTTCATGTGTGAATGTGTGAGATTCTGGAGAAAAGCTATCGCTGTGCTTTTCCTTTATTTTTTCCTGTGAGAGTTGTTTGTCACTGAGACTTGAAGATGCCTCTTTGAATCTCACAGTTTTGTCTTCACTCTTGTATCTTGCTAATTGAATTCTGCAAACTAAAAGAGAATAAAATATGATTAAAAATAGGCAAATACATAATTAATCTAACTTTAATGTTCACATTGCAATAAAAATCTGTGCAAGCAAAATATAATCTCCTTCAAAGTATTATGGTGAGTTTTATTTGATCCTTCAAGGGGAGGCCATGACTCTAAATTTTCTGCTCAATTAAATGTCATTTTCAGGTTTTTAAGATAAAAATGAAACATGGTCATTTATTTGAGATAGTCATTTTCTTCAAGTTGACAGAGCTTACTCTTTAGAAAAGAAATCGTTATAGAAGAATTCAGAAAATGCTGCGACCAATATAAAAATATGGCTTTGCAAATTTGTTATAAGTATCTACATTGCCTTATTATGTTTCTAGAAATATTAAGAACTGTATTTGTTCCTGCGCTATAGCATTTACAATGTTTACAATCTCAATGTTTAGATAGGAAAACACCCTCTGCTTGATACATATTCTGGTATGAATGTTAATAGCAATAATATCTTCTATTGCTATCAAGAACTTAATGTTGCATTATCCTGGAAGTATAGTATTTACTGCTATCTTAGCTTTAAAATTGAACTAAAATTATTGAATTTCATTATGGATAATCTTATCATAAAGGTAGATAGGCAGGTGCATGACTAATTTTAAAAACAAATATAAATATCTCTTTTGCCATTCCCACCAGGTTTTAACACACACACACACACACACACACACACACACACACACACACACACACACACACGAATTTCAAGAGGTTTCTTTATGTAGCTGTGGAGCCTATTCCAGAATTTCCTCTGTAGAACAAGCTGCAGGCTTCAAATTCAAAGAGATTTGCCTGCCTCTGCCTCCTGGGTGCTGAGATTAAAGGCATGTACCACCACCACCCAGCCTTCAAATATATTTTTATGCCTAAACATGAAATCATATTTTGGAAAGGGTTTATGAATACTGAATGGTAAGGCCCATTTAGAAATTGACAGTAAATTCTTACAGAGACAGAAGCTTTCTCATCAAATTTCCCTTATCACAAGAGTCCATAAAAGATGGTTATAAAATTTTATATACATTTTTTTGGTATTTATGAATGTTATACTATCAAATAGGTATAATCTGAAAGATATTCACTAGGATAAGGTATATCTGATTTACTTATAATGAAACATTTCTTCCTGGAAAAAATCCAAAGATTTTATTTCTAGTAAAATCTTTGTAATACTTTTTTACTGTTGTTTGGTTGCTTCTCACTAATTGTTTTTATTTATACAATTGCTTGGTAATTTTTATTATTTACAAATTGTAACTAATCAACTAAATTTATCATTATTTCAAAACCATTTGGTTAGCTAGCTATTAAGTACAGAGATGAATATGCACATATTCTTATTAAGAATCTGATGGATGTACTGTGGACATAAGCAATATTATGTTAACACACAGACATATCACTGACCAAGGAATTTCAGGAATCATTCTATAAAAAATTAAGTATTTTTATATCATATTTTGTGTGTAAATGAAGCATGCATGTGTGAAATCATCCACAAATGTTTATTTGTATGAATGGGGCATGTATTTACATTGCTTGAAAGAGTGTCTTTCTTACTCACTGCTGCATATGCCAGTGAAGCTTGTATTCAAAGTCTACAGTGACTTTATTGTCTCTCTCTCCCTGTTTTGCAAATAGTGAGATAAAAGTTAAACATTTCCCTTGTCATCTTTTACTTATGTTTTGGGGACATGAAATCAATTGTCAGGCTTTTATGGCAAATGTTTTACACATTGCCCTAAGAAAATGAATCTTACAGAATGAGAAGTAGAATCTTAGAGAGACCTAGTATATTATAGGTGTCTGCAGGACGGTGAGATTTGGATAGCAGGCTACTTAGAGTGAGTTCTCTCTTGAGGTAGGCCATTTGAAAAAAATCTGGACATGGTGACTTTTTTTTTTTTTTTCCTTTTTTTTTTTTTTTTTTTTAAGAGTTATTTATTATCTGCCTGGATGTGTATGCCTGCAGGCCAGAAGAGGGCACCAGATCTCATTATAGATGGTTGTGAGCTACCATATGGTTGCTGGGGATTGAACTCCAGACCTCTGAAAGAGCAGTCACTTCTCTTAACCACTGAGCCGTCTCTCCAGCCATAATGACTATTTTTATAATGTGAAAATACCAATATGAAAAGTCAAAAACAAAAACACTAGGATATGGAAATTTGTTCAAAACAAAGGAATCATATATATATTATACTGACTATATACATTATACTGAATATATAATATATATATTAAAAATAGATTTTAATGAAAGTGAGATATATGCTTTACTTAAAACATAAATCAAAATAATAATCATAAATATGCTTAGCATAATGAAAAAAGCCATTAACAAAATGAGAATTTCAAAGGTAACATGTTAAGTAATATGTATGAAATAGAAAACAAAGAGTTAATACAACAATTAAAATGAAAAAAATATTCACAAAGTTGATCTACAGCAAACTAATCATGGAAAAGGAAAATGAAGAAAGAATATAGTTAACTGGAAATTACCCAGTTAGGGGGAAAAGAAAAAAGCAATGGAATTATAAGGAAGGTATAGGACAGCAATGAGTGTACACATTTTGGCAAACTCAAGGATAAAAAACAAGAAAAATTTATTTGAAGAAATAAATACAAAAGTCCCCAAAACTAGAGAAGTGATTATGAAATTATATATATTCAATATAAGGTAAAGACAAAAATCCATGTAAAAACAATCAAAATAGCAAATAAAATATTTAAAAACATTAAGGAATTTATTTATGATGCACAGGGGAATCACTATTTGCAGGGTTTCTTTTTGCATGAGCATTAAGTTCTAATTCAGATTAGACAGTTAGTGCTATATAGTGTTAATAGTCATCATTTTAATCATCATCAAACTTTTAAAATTGGCATTGTGACTTGCATGCTACTATAAGCTTTCATTCATATATATATATAGTATAGTATATTTTGTATATTTTTGTATAATTCTTAACAGACAGATTCAAGGGAAAAAAGAACTACTAGTTGATAAATTCAAAGTACTATAATACCCTGCTAACCCAGGTTATTATGTCATGCAAAATTGTTTTAAAAAGTAATTAAACAGAAATACTTTATCTGGTATGGAATTCTTCTAATTCTGAATTGCTTTATAGGAATTTATAATTCAAATTTAAATAAAAGGATGTTAAATATGAAACAAAATTATAAACATACTAGTAAGATTAAATGTATTAACAAATACAGCCTATTTTAATACTGTATTTCTGTTGAGTAAGTGACCTTTAATCCTACTATAAAAGACAAAATTTAGCTAGGAAGCAAGTTTGTCTCTAAGAGAGACAAACATGGTACCCCAGAGAAAGGGAAAGGAACAAGATCTGAGCAAATTGTGAGCATGGGGGGAGGGATGAGGAAATTAAGAGAAAGGAAGAAGAGAAGGAGAGAGGAGAACATGAGGGCGCAGGAAGATTGAGTCATGGAAAGAATAGAGAAGAGCAAGGAAAAAGATACCATAACAGAGGGAGCAAATATAGTTTTAAAGAGAAATCTGGCACTAGGGAAATGTCCAGAGATCTACAAGGATTACCCCAACTAACAATCTAAGCAATAGTGGAGAGGCTACCTTAGGTGCCCTTCCCCAATAATGAGATTGATGACTACCTTATATGCCATCCTAGAAACTTCATCCAGCTACTGGAAGAACAGACACTATATGAACTCCTGGAATCCAGTTGTAGAAAGGGAAGAGTGATGAACAAAGGCTGGAGAAACCCACAGAAACAGCTGACCTGATCAAGGGGGAGATCATGGACTCCATTCTGATAGCTGGTAATCCAGCATAGGATTGACCCAGACCCCCATGAACCTGGGTGTCAATTAGGAGGATTGGTAGTGGATCAGTTTTTATCCCTATTGTACGAAAGGATTTTGGGAGCCCATTCCACAAAGAGGATAATCTTTCAGCCTAGACTCATGGTGGAGGGCCTATCACCTGTTCTAAATGATGTCACAGACTTTAAAAGATCCCCCATGGAAAGCCTAACCCTCCCTGGAGAGCAGAAAGAAAATGGGATGGGGGTTGGTGGGGCAGGGAAGGGAGGGGAGAGGATAAATAGGGATTGACATGAAAAACAAGATTGTTTCTAATTTAAATAGAAAAAATTCATATCAAAGAAGACAAAACTAAGACTATTAAAATAGTTTTTATAAAAATGTTAATTGCCACCCATCTCCTGAAACCTCAGCAGCTCCCTGGGACACAGACATCTACTGCATAGAGAGGACTGAGAGGTGACTGTCCAGCTGGACCAAACAGTCTCTAGGCCCCATGTCCCAGTGAAAAACTCCTGGCCCTTTCCTCGCCTATCTCAGCCACAGTAGCAGGTAAGCAGGAAAGACTCTTGCAGGCAAGCTGCATCAATACCCCCCCCCAATTGCGCTCCCAAACTCACTAGTCCAGGTAAGCAGGAAAGACTCTTGCAGGCAAGCTGCATCAATATCCCCCCACTGTGCTCCCAAACTCACTAGTCCCTTGTGACCTAGGCAGGTCCCTGGGATACAGACATCTGCTGCCCACAGAGGACTAAGAGGGGAGGACTGAGAATAGCCCCTTAGAACACAAACATCTACTGCACAGAGAGGAATGAGAGAGAGGACAGGATTAGATCAAGATTGAAAGGCATTGCCTGTACCACAAGGAAGAAGAGATGGGTAGACATCAAAGACATCAAAGCAAGAATACATTGAACACCAAAAGAACAATACTAGAACCTAGTGGTTTATCAGGCTGGCCTGAACATCCCAAATCAAAACAACTTTGAGATACCATCTTACTCCTGCAATGGCTAAAATTAGAAACATCAATGATGACTCATGTTGGAGAGGATGTGGAGAAAGGGGAACACTCTTCCACTGTTGGTGGGAGTGTAAACTCATACAGCCATTTTGGATATCAGTATGGCGGTTCCTCA